ATGTAATCCTACAAACACAAATTATATCGAAATAATCCATATTTCAACATATACATCAACAATTTTTCATATTTAGTGACCTAAATAAATGTGCAAAACACACTTATCACATATCATGGCAAACTATGCAGAAATTGTCTTTGCAAACAGTGATCCAGGACTTTTAGTCATTTTTCCTCAAAGGAAAGTCCTAATTCTGCTGCAAGGTACCTAAGTCATTTTGTCCCATTTGTTTCAGTGACGGATGGTCCTAGAGGCTCTTATATCGATGTAAAAGGGGAGGCTGTATATATTCCTCCTTCACATTGCGTGCCAGTTGACACTTGTGGCGCAGGGGATGCTTATGCATATGGCGTTTTGTATGGTATATTACGTGGTGTGTCTGATTTGAGAATTGAGAGGTATGGATGCATTAGCCGCCAAGGTTGCATCTGTAGTTGTTGCGCAACAAGGAACCCGGTTGATGGTACAAGATGCTGTCAAATTAGCCGAGTCATTTGCATTTCATCATCAACACTCCAATATCTGGTCTGATGTAGGATCTGATCAAATCTCCAGCTTGTGAAAGGACTTCTTATTACAATTCTTGATTAACCAAAAATTGAAAATATACAAATTTACTTGTCATATTGTATGCTGATTGAACTTTCCCTGTCCTTGTCGAAAAAATGAATTTCTTAGCTTTGAACTGTGCACATTCAAATTCATTGTAATTATTTATACTGGTAGATTCAAATTTACGCATTTGAAACTGTTGATGTTTAGACTTTTAGTGTCGGAAAAAGATGTTATGATGTTGGGCACAGCAGTGATGTTAATATTGAGTATGTTTATAATTCGTTGATGCTTACTAATACGAGATCTAACTTGTGACATTCGCTCATCAATGACACCATATCAGTATCGCTCCTCTTTACATGATAAATACACCTTCAATGGGCGTCATGTTAGAATTAGTAACTTTTCATTATATTTTCTGCTGAAGAAAGAGAAGAAATTGTACAATATCTCATTTAGAAGCAAAAGGGGGAATGAAATAATCTAGTATGCCGAACAGCAAGGTAATGCCTGTTAGTAAACTCTTTCCTTGTATAGTTACTCAAAGTACTCAGTTCTTTTGTACTGATTTCCAGCTATGCATCTATTTATGATACACTGTTCAAACGTTGTCATTCTTGAGGTTGAGATTGTGTTTATGTTTTTTAGAAGTCCCATACTTCACATGTTGCTTCTCTTTTTCCGTTTCGTTTCTCAGTTTTTAACCCCCCACCCTCTCCCTCCTCCCTCCTCGCTCCTCCCATTTTGTCTAGAAAACGGGAGAACTTATCTTTGCATTTAATCTGGCCTTGTGAATTTCTTGATTCTTAGTTTCAATGTTTTCTTTAATGTAATCTGGAACTTCCTAATATTGTATTGGTTTCCTTTGGTTTTATATCTTTTCATTTAAGTTATTCCTTGGTGGATCTTTTTGATTTGGACGAAAATATGATACTACAGTTTCTTGAATGTTTGACCGGTGAGTTTTTAGATAATTTGTGCAGAAAAAATGGAGGATTTCTTCTGGTGTAACTTGTGGGCTTGTCCACAATTATGAATAAAATAGACTAAAGTTTTGTTCTTTTGATTAATTTTCTTCTGTTTATTTCGAACATTTTGGGGTTGGCCTCTCCATTTGACCAGGTCATATAGGCCACTCAGAATGATTAACAGTGCCGCCAAAGGGTCTTGTCCAAATTCATCCACTTTCAGGCACGATGGCAGGATACAGTCTAAAACTCAGACCCCGCTGTAAGAGATTCGCAGATCATGGATTGGTGACTAATGGCTCATCCAAATCAAATAGAAAGAGGTTCTGCGAAACAAAGTGGTGTTGCAAGTTTATGGGCATATGTTGCAACTTTGCTCATGAAACGTAAGAGCTTCATTAGCCACCTCTAAATTGGCAAGAGACGGTAGCTGCGCCCAAAAGGTGTGTGATGGTGGCCTGGGATTGGTAGAACCTGTTGATGAGGACGCAAGATGCAGCCTTTTCTCCTTGAGTCTCAAAGGTCTGATAAAGATGCTTTTTGCAAGAAGTTCTTCACTTCTGATGGGTTTCCAGATTGAAGTTATTGCATTTTCCTAGATGATGAAGAATCAAAATAGAGTTGCTGTTGCAATAATTGTGAGAGCAAGGGTTGGTGCCGGACTTGGAAACAACCAAAGTGAGCTTCCATCCCAAAACTAATTGGTAATGGGTGGGGTAGCCCACTTGGATTATATGGTGGATTTATTTTCTTCCCACAATCGATGTGGAAATTGTTTGCCCCAACAATCCCTCCCTCAAACAAGGCTCANAGAAAAAACAGAGGATTGAATCATTGTTTGGTACTGAAGAAGGATACGGGTATGCAGAAAACAAAAGTAAGGAAAAAAATAGAGAAAGATATCCGGGAATGCAAACTGGGAATTCAAATCTACTATGATGCATTAAGCTTACATTATATAAATGAAAAACACCTGAATAACTAACTCAGTAGCCGAGAATCAAGCCATGAACTGCAACGTCTTGAACAAAATAACTACTTCCTAAAGACTAGGACCAACTCATTTTAATAACTGAAAAAACACAAATAAAATGGAAGCACACGGGACACTGGACATATTTCAGGAAACATAAAGAACACGTGGACACATTTAAGGAAGCATAAAAACAATTATCTAACACGTGGATAAGTTGCAGTCCTAAGAGCAGCTAACTAACACTATCCATTCTGAAGTCTTATTATGCTTTTCATATAGATGGAACAAATGGAAAGCTTTTCATTTAGCTCACATAATTGAAGGTATAATTTGAACTCTTATTCACTTCGGCATAATTACTATATATTTTATTTTGAAAATAATAATGATGACAGCTGATGACTTGTATCGTGTGAAAATGTAGAAATGTTTCCCTCTTCCGTATATGACAGGTGGATATATGAAGATGTTAGATGGTCCTTTTTGTAATTGTGAAAGTAAAGAATAAAATGAAATTTCATTGCAGCAATATAGTATGTCTCTTCGTAAAGAATCAACTCAGTAGTTATGGCTTTGATAAACAAGATATATTACATTAATGCAAAATCCTAGTAGACTTAATTCATTGGGAATTTCAATAGATATAAATGCATGAAATGTATTTGATTGATGGAATATCTGTTCCCACGTTTGAAGTTAATTTGTGCAACAGTGCATTTTTATTGACTGTGTACTGGGGCACAGGTTGAGAGGTTGGCTGGGGACACTGAAATTGTAGTTTATGTCTTGATGTTGTAGTTTCTTTTCTTGCTTCTCAGCTAGTGTTTATGGAGCTCTACAAAGGCCTTCAGGCCAGAAGGAAGTCCCTTCAGAAATGGCACGAACTTGATAAAATCATTTAGAGATTATGAGTGGATCGACAGTATAGTATGAGTAATTCTTGAAATAATTGTGGGCCATGATTTCATCAATACAAGCACATTCTGCTGCAAACGATACGTGGATTTATTAAAAGAGCATACAATTCAATACACATCAGAAGATACAAGTTTTATGGTTAGTAGGACTAGTTTGTACTTTGTACATCCATTTGGACAATTGTCATGTAAACGCCCCTGCCGTGAATGTTAGACTCGTGAGGTACACGATGACTGGTCCATGATGTATGTTATGACAAACAAAATTGTGTCCAGAGCACATTGAAAAAGTTACTCCAAATAAATTAGTTGAGTTCTGATTGTACTTTTTTGATACAGATCCACATAATGCAAAATAAACAACTTCGATTTTGGTGGTGTGTGGGCCGCCTAACAGAGACAGCCATCAATGAAGTAGTATCAGTGTATATATGTGTGTGACAAATAGTATGATTCATTATTTTACAATGGGTTTGATTGGTAGAGGCTGTGAAGTGATAAAAGTGATGGAAATTATATAATCTAACTCAAGTGATAACAGGAATCCCACTTTTCCATATTTGAACTCTTTTAATTTATTATTGCTTAAACTACACTTTATTTTCCATGTGCATCAAGTTTGTTTGTGGTAATAACAATGTGTTGGACGCATTAGATCTCTGTAAATAAATGGAATTTGGGTACACACTTGATTAATGGGTCTAACTATTTAATTACCAGTAAAAAGCAAAAAATAAAATATTGAATTGCACTCTCTTTTATTTCCATCTCTATCTTCACTCGCTCTTCATAGGTATCTCTATCACATTATTTACTATTGTTCGAAAATTGGAATATCCAAACTTATTTCTGTTTGTTAAGCAAATATTTAGATGAAACACATGCGTGTATGTTATAGATTTTTTACCAAAATTTTGTTGGAAAAAAATCATTATCGTTTCTCGTCGTATTTAGTTTCATTATTATTACTAGGAATTTTAACTCATAAAAATAACCATTTTACATAACTCAAGAGAACTTGGACTTCAATTTAATTCTCCCTGTTACAAAACAAACACAAATTATATTCACAATTTAAGGCCTCATATATGTTTATACTTTTCTTTCTTTATTTTTACATTTCATTGATTTCTGGGTACACTACCCATTTATTCATTATTCATCTTCCAATTCCATGACTGCATGTTATACTAGAAAATCTACTATTATACAGCACAAAACCCAACTTCACTTGAACCAAACTGGTTTCTGGATGTAGATGACGATATCTATACAGATGGATGGTGTATATATGTAGTCTTATGGTGAGTTTCTGACTCCGGCTTCTATCGACAAAGCTCTCAGTAAGCTGGAACAGATACTGTATTCATCTAGTATTTTATAACATAGGCACCAGTGGGAGCTCTGTGAGGAATCCCCTTTCTCCTTTTCGCATTTGTGTAATTTGGAGGTGTTGATGGCCTAAAGCACTTCGTTTTGTTCCTACCAATCATGGATTCTTCCTCCACCTCGGTGTGTATTTTCTTGTTTTCGAAATTCTTGGATGTCCCAACAATCTGAACCATTCAATATTACCAACCTATTCAGTCACTATATAGTAGGATAAGAATCCCAAATTATCATTTTCATTGATTAACACATACAAGGAAAATGAATCAGATTCCAATTTTCTTGCTTTTTCGATAAGAACAAATGCCTGCCTGCCTTTGGTTCTCTTCTTGTTTTTATAATAAAAATTGACATAAAGATGACAAATTATATTTAAGAAATTTACATACTATGCAGTAAAATGTGAGAATAGATACCTTGCAGGCAAGGGAGCAGTATTGGAAGGAATCGAGAAGGGTTCGGTGACAGACTTGACAGGTATTGATGACACCTTTACCAGGCCTAGGCTGTGGCCGTTCATTCAAGAACACGATTTTGGCACTGTTTATGACATAAGTTTGTACTCCGGTTATGTCCATATACTTGTGAATTTCAGACACCCTTATTACATCATGGTAGGATGATCTCCTTATCTGTTCAAATTGAAACCAAGAAGTCAATTCCCGGGAATCCTAAACAATGAAAATCCAAATTCTTTCATCTAAAAATTTAAGTTCAGGAACCTGGATGACTCGATGGTCCTTGTGCAAATAGAGGCAAAGGGAACAAAGAGATCCATTGATGCAGTCCAAGCAATACATATTGCATTCACTCTTGTGGGCACTGGCATGAAGTTTGCATTGTTTAAAGAAGGTTGTTTGCAGAAGAGGGCGGAGCCACGGCGGCCACTTGCTCTCGTTTTCTTCGTCACCACCTCCCTAATTCAATCACCAAATCAAAGAATATTCGTATGATAAAGAAAATTTAATATGAACATGAAATATGTATAGAACAACTGACCATGAAATCTTCTGTTTGTTTAGTATTAGAGATGAAAGGTAGAAAGAAATAGAGGAGGAGGAGAGTTTAGTTGGTATAAGTAGGGTAGGGTAGGGTAGGAGTGGGGTGGGGACTCATAATACAAAAAACAAAGTCCAGGGAGCCGAACCAAACCCAAAGCCAAATGAGATGCGTATTTCATTTTTTTTTCCTCTTTATTTCAATATTATAATTAATTAATGATAGTGGCAGAAATTGAATTAAATAGTGAAAATTATTTCATCAGGTGAAGCAAACCATATGCATTCCATTATTTTCAGTCTTGAGATGATGATTTGGTCTTTATAATTTATTTATTCTCTCCTTTAATTCCTCTTATACTTTTGATCAGTTGCGGAGCCAGGATTCTATGGTACGGGGGCTACTGGATTGGACAGTGGGCTACTAGGTTGGACAGTAGAAAAAAATGGACTGTAACCAATTTATTTTATTATTTTTTTAACAAAATTTGGCTTGGGTTGGAGTGTGCAAGGGTGGGCTACAGCCCACCCCTATCTCCGCCCCTGCTTTTGATGATATTGAGCCTTATAAGTCGATCATCAATATCGAATCCATCATACAATCCTCTAAAGGGTATTTTTAATTTGTACCAAAGAGGACACAATGCAATCATCTAGAGTGACACGTAGTGATTGCTTTGAAAATGTGACATTTTGAACGACAACTCAAATGTACATAAAAAAATCTTGCATTGAAAATAGAGAATCGAAGATCATATACAAGGAATTGAAGCTCACAATTAATGTCTCCTACGAAAAATTATGTATCACAATTACTCAACAACTGAAAATATATGTGACCCTTTTTTAGATCAATTTGAACATGATATTGTCAATTTGAGGTCAGAACTACTCAACTCAAAATGTATTTATCCAATTTCACATTCAAAAAATAATGGGCGGTTACGAACCATGTAAGAGATAGCCTTTCCATCCAAGTATTTTGGTTAGTCAAAACTAATTGTTTACATATCATTTATTCCAAAAACACCACTATATTTAAAAGGTTGATCTCTCTCTCTCTCTCTCTCTCTCTCTCTCTCTCTCTCTCTCAAAACGCCAAAATGAGTATACATTATTTTTTTTTCTATTACTTAATTCAGTCTGTGTTATATAGAGATAAGAAATTGAGTCTTGATCTTTCAATCTTTTTATACAATAATTATTATTTTCGCATTTAAGTCATTTTATTCATAATTATCCTGTAAGATGATGACTCATTTGAAATTTATATTGAAATTCAACTATTCGTTAGTTTTATACAGATCGAACTCTATTTGCTTGAGTATTTAACACTCTAATGCGGGGTATTGAGACGGATGAATAATATTTCTTCTTGGTTAAGCTGTTCAAACTGAAGTATTAGTCTATGCATACTGATTGCCACTGCCTAATGACACCTTGAAATTGTATCATTTCTCTTGTTTGAATGGAAGAATATTCATGGATTATTTTCTTTTCTTCCCTCTTATAATATTATTGACTTTATTTTTTGTTTGACTTTTTCTTCTTTTAAATGAATTTGAGCAGCCTTCTTCTCCACACCACACATACACACAGTCACCCATTAGATTTCAACCGTTGGACTGCAGAATTTTGGTGTTTTCTTTTAATGTAAATTGATTGATTCATTGTGTATTGTTGAAAGTAGAGCTATGAGATGTTATTAAGAGATGTTATGAATATTCAAATAAAAATAACAAAAGAGTACAATATATTCCAAACCACTATATACATATGAGAACGAAGGAGATGATTAAGTATTCCTCTTTCGAAGATTAACAAATTCCCATTCTACATGGGATGAACAAAGTCTACCTTATTCTAAATTCGATTCTTTTTTTTTTTTTTAGGAAATAATTCTTTATTACAAATAAATTGTCACGAACAAAGGGTGATGTAGGGGTGATAAATAAAGGGAATGAACAACAAATTCCAAAATAATTTCAAATGAGGATGAATGGAGAGAGAACAATTTGTAGAGAACGAGAAACAGTTGACAATTAGAGTTCTTGGAAATACTTAAAACTGTTCAAGAATTCCTCGGAAGACCAACAAAAATTGAAGTGAATGATGAACATCTTATGACTGCAGACATACATGATTATAAGATTATAAGCAATTGACCACCCAACTCAACAAGCCCGTGCTGTATCTACATCAAACTCTGACCTTACAATAAGCATTTCAAGATGCTAACAAAGAAATAAAGTTATTCAAGGCTATGGACGATGAGATTGCAACTATTGAAGATGCCAACATTTGGGAGTTGATAGAGAGCTCTCAAAATGGCAAAAGACGATTATTGGAATGTGGATTTGCAGATAGCAAAGAAAAATTGTTATAGCGAGTCACTTGGTCGAAGCATGTACAAGTTTCTGACGACTCAAGGACTACAAAAGGCAGAAGTGGGTATGCTTTGCAGCACTTCAATAAATTGATTAGATATGTTTTCTGCAAAGTAAAATGACCATGTATTTGAATTATGTTATTTGTACCCTCATCTCCTCCCTCACATGGAGGTCAGGTCCCACATCCAATAAATACGTGGGACCCGACCCTCATGTGAGGGAGGAGGTGGGGCCGGATAAACCAACATGTACTCCAAAGGGTACATGTAGCAAGATTGATATCCATAAAGCACATAATGCCTTTCTACACTGACAGTAACTTCTGAGAATGAAACTTTTGGCCTATAAATCAGTATGTACCCAATGTGAATTTAGTTGCAAATTTATATCTGAAATAAAATAGTGACCAACAATATGGAAAACCAGTCCAAAGGCACTGCCAATTCTACAAGTATTTAGTCATCAATTAGAATATACATCAGATCATAGCATATTAGTACAAGAACAATATGCTATGCACGGAGATTTTCCATCAAGTCTAGTGTAATATTTATGCGTATAACAAAATGACAAGATATTATACATATATCCGAGAAAGTTAACGGTCAACAAATAAAATGACATCATTCTGAACCACGTTTTTCTTTAAACTTATTGTGTTCCATCAGCGGCTGTGACCTGCATGAGTAAAGGCAATTATAAGCAACTATGAAATGGAAAGCAAAAAGTCATTACATTGCTGTACAGTATAGTCTAATTTCACTTAAATTTCAAATAATGCTCCCTAAGTCCAAAATATTCTGCTGCATGCTATATAAACAGCAACACCGCTAAGACTGTAAATAAAAGAACGATGTTATCGGCAAGAAATCAAATGAAAAATTGATTAACTTTAAAAGATGGTAAAATCAGGGTAGCATGACAAATGAAGTCGGATAATGACCATGACTGTGGGGCAGAAAATTTATTACTTTTTTCTTATTAGATTGAGTGTAGGCAATATATTATTTCAGCTAAATTATGGGGAAATAAATATAGACTAAACAAATTTCACATTACCAGAGAAAAGGAAAGGATAACATCAATGTTACTTATCGGCAAGAATAAAGAAAGGTTCAAATGAAAAATTGATTCTAATTCCTCCCGGAGACTAGCACTCCTCGCGGCTCCTACTTAATGCACATTTCTTGTAAAAATGTGTAGCACACCGCAAGCGTTATCCAGTGCTCTATTATGTCTAGACACCCAAATCATAGAATGTTTGGTCGTGTGTGTTAATTTTTTTTTTTTGCTTTTTTTCCTGACTTCTGGCCTTCAAGTTTCTTGTGGCCAGAAAAATATGATAAGACCCAAAATCTTGGGAAAAGAATCCCTCAACAAACAAATTCATAAACAAGAGTTGGTATTCCCCTCTTGTTCAGAATCAGTTGCCTTTCTTGTAAATAAGGCTTATGCCTGCTGCCTCTTATTGCCATTAAGAATCACTTGCTTTAGTATAGTAACAAAATGCAGATATCTTTGATGTGAAGAACTATGCAATAAAAGCCTTCGGATATTGCAAAAAATGATAAAATACAATTATACAAAGGAGTACAACGTTAAATTTGTGTGACCAAACCATTCTTGCTTTAGGTACCTGACTTACCAAATTGAAGTGTGACTAATACCAAGCCCATTACTGGTAAGTATCATCCCCTTAAATCTCGAAAGATATTCCTGTATTGGCAAAGGACAATTCAAAATATCATTAAGCAATCATTAAAGATGCATGACAAACAGCTGAAATATGACATTACGAAAAAAATCCTTACCCGCAAAGTATACTTGTCAATCTCATAGTTTCCATTCAAATCATAGTCCAGTCTTTTGTCTGGATCACTTAATACTGTAACGGTCATGTGGAAGAAAAGTTATACTGCATATTATAAACAATGGAGACCTCAGAGTTATGAGTATTGAACACTCCTGATGCTAATGCCCACAAAAGAGTAACTCCTAATCTCTGCTAACACTGGCATTTCAGAGGCCTTGATTTTACATGCAAAATGAAAAGAAATTCTGCCACCTGAGTACTAGGATTTTATTACACTTAACTACACAAATTGAAAACTCAATGCAAACTTAATAGAACTTAAAAGTCAGCTCCCATCTTAAAGTTATGGCAATCCTTCTTACTTGCATTTTCCTTTTTTATTTTATTATTTCAAAAAGAAATGACAGAAGTAGTTTTCGATGATTATAGCAGTTGTACATGTTCCGAAAATGTTAGGCTCTGTTTCTAGTTGGAGTTTGTCATGCATTCATAGTGAATTATTTAACATAATTCCAAGAAACAATATATAAAGTACATCGAAACCAAATTCATATGCAACATAAAATGCCATAGTCAATAAATTGACTCATGATAGTGTGTCATAACAAGTGTTTAGCCAAAAAAACCAAAGAGACAAAATCAAATTCCACATCACACAAGCACAAGCACTACACAGAAACTTGCCAAAATGTGTTCATAGACGAGAATCACATTTCAGAGATATAGGGGATGACTTATACAATAACCTTTGTAAGCTTCATTAATCTCTTGAAATTTTGCAGTAACAGCAGTATCACCCCCGTGTTTGTCAGGATGCCACTTCTGCACGCAGGCAGAATATAAATGATGTAAATACCCACATCCGTAATTGGTCCCTGTCCAAGGGTGGGGTGGCGTATCAAAGTATAGATTCAAAAAGCCATAGAAAAGATGCTTTAGAGAATATATATTGCTAACCAGTGCAAGCTTTCTGTAATTCAATCGAATCTTCTCATCAGTTGCATCGTAATCAATTTCTAAAACCTTGTAATGATCCTTAATCAAGAAAATGGTTTCCGGTTAGCTATTGTAAAGTTAAAAAAAGACAATTGAATAAATACAGTGGAGGATCCACATTTATTCAGGCTTCTAATAGGACTTACGGTAAAGAAACAAAAGAGAAAGAAGACTGTAAAAACCAATATTTAGATGAGCATGGCTTCCTGAGCTTTTAATAAATACTTGTGCATAAAAGCCCAGTGACGTTATTTCTATGGTCATGTAGAAATAAAAACACCATAAATCCTTTTTAGACAGTAGAACCACTAACGTTTTGCTTTTGCAAATCTAACAGAATCAAAAACTAGATATTAAGAAGGTGCAAAGAGAAATTGCGATTACTGAATAAAACCATGCTGGAGAATAGACACATTCACGTGCTTTATTCAGAAGATTTTTTCCCCATATCATTCATAAAAGGAAATGAATAAATCATCATGCTTCCTTCAACATATAACATATCACAGTTGAACACCCCCTCCAACCCCCACATCCCAATGCTCGTCTGAATAACCATTGTTTAGAACCCTGCCATTCAAATTTGCAAGCCTGTTTTATACTACTATTTAGCTCTTCCTAGATCCAAAAGATGTAAACTTTCGTTCTACTACCGTCGAAATGGTGATAACAACTCAGTCTTTAAATAGTGGGACAAAGGATGAACAACACAACTCAAAAAACAATTTAACAGATAAACATTGCTATAAAGTATAATATTCAAACTGCAAGTTTCCCCTCCCCCAGCATTCGAAAGGCAACAAGTCTGTGCAAACGAAAACCCTAGCAACTCAATTCCATATAGTGCACAAAAATTCATCTTCGGTCATATTAAGAAAAATCGGAGGAAAAAAGAATTATACCGAGAGATTCAATAAAAAAATTCCACCATGTATTCTCAGAATATTGGAAAAAAAAAAAGGCAAGAAATCAACGCGAAAGAGAAGCAGGGATCAGCGGAAGCACCTTATGGGTACTTATATCTTCGCCTTCCATAAACTGAGGATTATGCAATTCAAAGAAATATTCATTTGATGTGCAGAAAAAATTACATGGGAGCAATGAATTAATAGAGAAATTCGTAAAATGTTTTTGGGGAATCTGCGTATTAGAAATCAAGGGATCAACGATATTTTTTCACGGAAGAACGCGGGGGAATGTAGTGGAGCTATATTCGCCACAATTGGATTTGGGATTTTTCAAGGGATTTTCTCGGAAGGGCTCCACTGTTATAAAACCAAATATTTTCTTCTTTAAGAACAATGCTATCGTTTTCGAGTCAACGTCATTTTTTACACAACATTCAAAATAATATCTTCTAATTTTGCAATTAGAGCTGAACCATCATCGAGATATCAAAAATTTGATACGATAACATATCTCGACTCATACTTGTCTACTCTCTAGTCATTGAAACATTATTATTGCAATATCAATTCTTCCACTTTTCTATCGCCCTTTTTCTGGTTGTTAACGAGAAATAAGAAAGGGATTTAAAGAAAATGAACATGAATTGCAATGACTTTTTCACATTATTGAATTGTCTTAAATCGTATGAAGAGGTACGTAGTTACAATAATAAAAATTTACCAGAACATACAAAAATAGCCTAGGCATCAAAATTTGTGATACATTTAGTCAACAGATGCCATTAAAGATGTATACTCGAGTTGGGTTCCATTCAATCTCCCAAATTTATTTAACACTTTACTGATTATTTAAATTCTCCAAACAGAACTGGACAGGCTACATGTTTCAAGCATTCCGTTTACATGTATAGCATAATATTACCGAGCCAACTAGTAAAACTAGAAAATGAACCATTGAGAAAGAAACGCAAAGTATTATGCGGCAGCTTCTTCTACATCGGTCTCAATTGGCTCCTCAGGTATATTTTTGCCACCTCGCAACCGGGATGATACATTGTCAATGGCAGAATTGAGTTGACCTATTTTTTCATTCAAGGTCTGCCTGGTTTTCTGAATTTCACAAAATAGAGAGGATTAAGAAAGGGTAACGATAAAAGGACTAGTTAACTCAACTTGTTACAATGGCAAAAGACAAGTACGAAAGCTAAAGTCATCATTATCACCTCCAAGCCTTCGTCGTAGTAAATTGGTTGCCTGGCCCTCCGAAAGCCATATTCATCTTCGTTTAGCAGTGATCTTCTTATCTAAATAATTTTTTTTTTTTTCAAAAAAGGAAAGATTAAAATAAAATAAAGCAGAAAATCAAATCATAGAAAACTGATGCATGTGGTAAAATGATTTCGCAATGCTTAAGAGGTATTTTTTTTATCTTTTTCCCCGCAATACAAATTTAAATATGCAAGTGTATTGTAGTCCAAATAATTTTTGAATAAGATTTCAAGTAAAGATTCTGACTAGCTTACTTTTAAATATTTAAACAGATTTAGAACCAAGTTCAACCAGTTCAAGGAACGTTCCAAAGTCAATGTACAATTACAGTGAGACGAGCTAAGCACTACTAAATGAGCCATATCAATGCAGACGTAATACCAAGATGGGCAGGCAGATTGTGTTGGGCATTTTAGGAGTTACCTTTCATGAACTCAGATTAAATACAGTATATATAGTTAATATTAGGGAAAAACATGACAAAACTACCAAGCTCGACTTTTTTTTTCCTGATTTGTAATTTTTTGTTCCACAGATATGAGTGGCAGTTTCATGGTATGTGGTGTTTAACTTTCCATGCTGCATCACTCACTAAAGATCATGCTTCACTCATTGTATCCAATCTGAAAACTAGTGGAAACGTCATTTAATGCTTATTAGCATACTGAATCAGGCTTCGCCCATTCTATCCAATTAGCCAATCTTAGAAGCAAGTAATAACTTTATTTCATGCTTATTAACATACTTAGGGTACTGTATTTTCCACAAGCCAACTAGATCAATCACGAACCATTCCTAGAGGAGCTAGAAAAGTAAATATGGAGACATTGAGATTGACAATTAAGTGATATTTATGCTCACCTGAGGAGCAAAAACATATGCAACCGTTCCAAAGATTGCACCTCCTATAAGAAATCCAGTTACAAAATCACCACTTCCACCTCTATGATCACTGCATAAAAGGAAAAAAAGTTATGGCATATATCACATCGCCAAGGACAAGCAACTGGCCACAACACTGCACACCAAAAATTGTGTCTGCCACTAAACCAAAACCAAAACCAACTACATTACTCTAGGCAAAATTGACTTTGAACACATGTTCACCCAAATAAAATATTTGTAAAGAATGTGATTAGAATTTTCACAACAAACAGCTTTTTCTGTAAAAACTTGTTTTTGATCTTAATTAATAATGCTAATAGGCAACTGAATACTAAAAAGAGAGAATGCAGATCAGGGAGCGATCTCATCTTCAAAAGCAGAATGCAGTCAGCACAAGCATAAGCATGGGGTGTAAGCAAAAATAAGCAAGATTCAATTCTCCAGAAATTTCATAGGACATACAGCCTCCATAAATTACAATGGTTCCACGGACAGAGCTGGTAAAAATGTATCTATCATAAAGAATCTATCACAAGTAATTCTAGCCCGATGCTTACAGTAGTTGATATGGGAACCAGATGGCAGAAATTTGACAAATTGCTAATCTTAAATTTGACAAATTGCTAATCTTTCCCCTTTGGCCAAAAATAATAATGAGTAAACCCAGATTCCAATTGATGCCTATACTAAACCCCTACTAAAGTTTAAGAAACGCATCAGAAACCAACCAGTTCCTACTAATCCAGCCTATTGCAAATTTAACTAGTCAACTGAATGACTAGTGTCCGGAAAGAGAAATTATGTACCTGATATTTGGACCATTATGTTCGAATGAATTGATATTGTAGATCTTATCCAGTACCAAACTCGGTTAGCATATAAAACCATATTATGCTTGAGGCCTCCAGTAAACATGATTTTGAAGTTTGAACAAAGAAAGGACATGGAAGGATGAAAGAGGTGTGAATTGTTTTAGATACTTTTGAGTTTTTAAGAAGTTGACTGCAGCTTATGCCTTGAGAGCTATTTGTCAAGGCTAAGCTAAAGACAGTCAAAGTGTGCGCTCATTTGTCTCTGTGTCTTACCTTTTCTAGGCTTTTAATTACTGACTTCAGATTTTTCGACTGTGTTTTATACCTCAGAAACTTTTAAAGCTTTTTTTTTTTGGTTTCATTTTTCTGCCTTTGCACCAAAGTGGAAGGGGAAGGCACCATTGCAAGTGGGGGATCACGACAAAGAATGAGAAGCTCATATCGTGTTATTCATTTTATAACCATTTTTCAAGTTTTGCTAGAATGTAGTGTTATAAGAAATGTTGTCCATGAAGCCGATAAATCTTGGATAAAAAACTTTATCATTAGACCAATCAACTATACAAGCTTCCATCTACAGCAATAGAACATGATAAGATTAAGACACCTATTTTAGTAATTTCTTTATGAAGCGGAAAGATATCAAATCGCATTTTTGAGGTTTGCTATAATAATGTTTTTCTCCTTAGATGTGATAGGAAGGTGGTGTCTTTGGAGGAGAACATCAAGTCCTGAAGGAAAGAGGAGAATTCCATACAGTCTCAATGCCAACAATTTACATGGCAGAAGTGAATGTCCTGTTGATGGTCGATAAGATGGCCATAGGATGTTGAGTTTTGCAACTTCACAACATAACACCTTAATTGGATGTAACAGTCAGAAGGGAAATTCACACTACACTCAGATGCATCATCCATTATTTTGGTTTGCTGATTCTCATAATTTGGTCAAAGCCGATTATCATAACAAATTATATGCTAAATGCAGAGACATCATCTAAAATAACAATTTTTTTTGTAATTTACAAGTGAGAATAAAATACGCATTCATTTTATTTTTTTCATTATTTAGTGCAGCAGAATCATATACAAATTTATTCTCTCTACGTGCATATTGAGAACCTACACATAGCTCATAATATGTTCTGTGATGAACTCAAGCAAACATTACTTGAATGAAAACTATATACCCAGACTCAGCACGAACAGAAAGGTTGCGTCTGGTTCCAGAACGACTCTTCTTGGCTTGAATTATTACTGGTGGTGTGTTGACAAAAGTGCCTGACTTTACAAACAACATATCCCTGGACTTGAGAGCATTTCCACCTACATGGAAACAGACACAATTTAGAAAACCCTTTAGATACGAAATCAGAAGCTCAATCGAAATAACACAAAATAAACCACTCTGGCATTACTCGAATCTCACATCCAACAATCAGAGCCTAAAAGTTGAAACAGAAATTGGAGTAAATTCAGGAGTAATTAATTACATGCAAGAATGAAAACCCTACCTAATAACAGTATAGTGATTAGTAATTAATTACCGGAGAGGGAAAAAGTAGGTATGCCGGCAGCCATTGGAATGGGAGGGAAGAGAGAGTGTGTGAAGCAGGGAGCGATAAAACCAGAGAGAAAGAGGCGAGATTTTAAATTTATTCTATTGGACTTGGATTTCTAGGTAGAAACGAAACGTAGCCCTTGTTTGTTTGATGGGATTAAAATCCTAAAAGTTGATGAAATAGTAAATGATGTGATTGACATTAATTGTTGATTTATATTTAGATTAAAATTTTGATTAATATTTTTTTTTTACCCACACAAATGTAGAAATATTAAAATATGTTTATAGCCTAGTGTAAAATCAAAAATTTGAAGATTCAAGTTTAACACAACATTACAAGGTTCACGATATAATTGTGTTGAGTTGTATTTGGCTTAAGTTAGTTCAAGTATTCTTGCGACGGAACAATTCCAGTCCATTCTTGTATCTTCCTCAATAAAAATAAGCTTCGTACTATGCTCGTATTTTTGAAAGAGTAATGCTAGAGGACCCAAGTCCCTTGGCAAAGTGAGGTGTACAGTCTAGATTAAACCTCAGTTAACAGCTAGGATGTAATGCTTAAAATAATGGGGAACAAAAAAAGATTTCAAAATTCAAA